AATCCGCTTGTAACACTCAAAAGAGAAAGGAAAACTTGAAAACGCATCATATGACCCCTTTAAATTACCACCAAACTATTGAATGGCTGACAAATCATTGTTTACAGTGGTCTGTCCGTTGAGTTGTTGCATGTGTGTGAGTGTTTGTGTACCTCATGCTGCTGGTAATGTATGTGTGAATGTGTGCGGTCAGCGTAGGTCCCTTCCTGCATCTACAGTGTGTATCTCTACTCGTTTTGCACATGGTCAGGGGAAAGGGAAGATTCAGAAAATCTTTAACCAGTGCATAGCCCAAGTTTGTGGTGAGCTCCTACGTAAGCAAGTAACCAAATAGGTTTCTGCCACTGGCATGTTTCTGCAGCTGAGTGTCCCATCATTCCCTCCTGTCCTCTTCTGATGGTAGTGGGGAGAGAAATCAGGACCATATGAATGACATTCCACCTCGTCTTCAGTCTGGGTGTGTTGCCGGTGGTTTGGGAAGTCTGGAGGCTTTACTGATTTCAGTCTATATTTCACATATCCTGGCTCAACCCAGCCTGAGTCATTTTTGTTTAAAAAGAGACAGGAGTTGATGAATTGGAAAATAAACTAGGCAAATGTACCCAACACTCAAACACAAATAAAGGCATAAACAATGTGTGAACTGTCATTTCTGTATTCTCTTAATACATTCACATATCGATGTACACAGGGGAGAAAACATGCTCACAGGTGCGTTTTGACATGATTTTGACATTCAGAGCACATCAAATCTTTTTGATTGTAAGAGAATTTAAATGGTTATTCAACTCAGGCAGACAAGATTTTTAGTTAGCTTCTTTTATATATTTTTACATTTTTCAAGCAACATATAAATCACAAATATTTCATGTGAGTGCCTAGTTTAGTATGTATGTATGCATGCTTTATTTATAGCTCTGAAGAAAACATTTTCAATTCAATACAAGTTAAGATCAGTTGACATACAGCATTTGTGACATTACAGATACAACAAATGTAATTTTGAGTCGTTCCTCAAGGCTACACTGAGGTACTTAACATGTTTTAATCAGTTTACTTTGCCAGCAACATTTAAATCATAAACCATTTCTTTGCAGTGCCCATGTTTGTTTATTTTTTATACAGTTATTTTAATTCTGGGAGGAATTGAAAGCAAAAATGTGAAGCTTCTGATTTTATCAATACCTACATTCATTTTTCTGTTAACTGTGTGTATTATTTGAGCTGTTAATATGTTTAAATGATCATTTTTACATTCATTTTAGGGTTTATGGTTTATGGAGTTAGGATGTCACAGCTACAAAGTTGTAAAATTGGATATAAATTTACACAGAAAAGGTTAACAAAAAAGGTTACCAAGCAGCATTTTTCACAATAAAAAAGGTAACACTCATATTGTTATGGTCAGTAGCTGTACTATTGAAACAGCATACTTTTTT